GGGAGAGCTGCACTGGCAGCCCTTCCTCTTTGCTGTCACAGGAGTTCTAGCACAGTGCTAGAGCTCCTGTCCTGGAGGTGACGGGTTCAATAAAGACAACCTGTCACCTCCAATTGCTATCACGCAGGAGATTGTTTGCTCTTTCACCGCAGATACAGTCCGCTGCATTGAGAGCGCAAATAAAGTTCTGATTTGCCCCCAAATCCCCCCAGACTCTGCTCCTCCGCTGACATGTTTCACCTCCCCCCTTGGAGTCAAGTCAGGAGTAACTCAGAACACTAAAGTTTGTTAAATGTGGAACTTGGCAGTACGTGGTGGCATGTGTGAGTGACTTGGGAACAATAAAGCTTGTTGAATTTGGAGGTTATTGTTGTGCGTTCTTTATTGTTGAAAGACTGAAAAGCTCCCTATTTGGCTCTGCCGCCTCTAGGCCCGATCCTCCAATCCAGGAACTTACATGCTTTGTGTCAGTAACTGTCAGGGACCAGAGCACCTCCGGGTGGCACTGTGGAGCTGGAACCAGGACCTGCAGTTCCAGTGCTCACCTGCAGGTGTCTGCCAGCAATTAGGCACCACCTGGTGCTGCTCTGGGAGGGTATTTAACCTGCTCTGAGGCCTGTGCTTCAGTATTGTTGCCATATCCTGTTTCCGGTAAACCAGTTTCCTGTGTCCTGTTTCTGCCTTGGACCCTGACCTCTGACCCTTACCCCTGGGGTCTCACGATCTGTGGCTCCCGGCCCTTGCCGTTTGTACATAGTGTGGCTCTTATTTGTTTCTTGCGGGTGGTGGTGGGATTGGATTGCCTGTGTTTATGCGGTTTGCTATCTCCATTAAATAAAGATTGTTGTGGTATCTGCAGTGTGGTCACATAGTCGATGCACCTGTATAGGTACCTGCACGTGGTGTTGGGACTAGGGTTGCCACCTGTCCAGGATTCACCCGGACAGTCCGGGTTTTGGATGCTGTGTCCGAGTTTAATGGCAGCAGAAACCCGGACACAAGATGTCAGGCAGACAGGGGCAACCAAAATTAAGATAGAAGCCTCTGGCCCCCCACTGAAAATAGTCTCAACTGTGATATTTACATATGAATGGTGGTGCTAATTACATAAAAATAAGCTGTGACTCATTCTCCCCCCAAAAAATGTCCGTGCATCGCCAGAGTGTTCGGGTTTTGCTTGAAGAAAAGGTGGCAACCCTAGTTGGGACACCCGCGCTCGGTATTGTGACAGTAACACTTGCCACAGTTGCAGTGCTCCCGGTATATGACCCCCAAGGCTGAGATGCAACGTTTTTTACACTAGCAGAGATTCGGTCCATTTCGGCGGACCATTCTCCTCGCTCCGGCTGTTTGTTTTTCGGCTTTGCCGAACCGAAGCATGTGCTTTCGGCTCGGCTGTTAACTTCGGCTGCTGTACGGGCTATTGAGAATAACGCATACGGCAGTCATTTGGTTTGGCTCAACCAAAGGATTTCTGCAGCCAGAGCGAGCCGAAGGATTGGCTGAAGGTTCGGCTAAATCCTTTGGCTCTTTAGTGAATAATCTCTACATGGTGAGGCAGCAAATGTGTACCCCACAGGGTGTTCCTGTCTGCTTTTAGGGCTCATTAATCCTGCTAGGTGCACATGGACTTGGCAGAACATATCCTGTTTAGGTGCTTCACACTGCGCTTAGCAAAAAAGACTTCGCTTCGTACATAGCCATTGACATGAGCTGTAAGATTGGCCACACACATCAATTTTGCATCTTTTCTCTGTTTGTTCAAACTTTTAGTATTTGTGTCTTTTCTCTCATTGTGTTTGCTGTTTCCTGTTGTTATGTCCTTCGGAGGACCGCATGTTGTCCTAAGGTGATTGTGGCCTGACCCGTAAGGCGAAATATAAAAGCGTCTTACCATTTTTGACCAGTAGATGGGGACATCGGAGCAGAGAATGTTTATACTCATTCCCAATTGGTCCAGATTGGCTTCTTTGATTGGAGTAATATCATAGGTTACCGTATTGTTTGGCGGAGCGTTCTGTAGAAATAAAGAATATCGAACTATTAACTTTTCACCCATCATCCTGCGCTATGTACACAAATGAAAAAAGAAAGAAAAGGTGTGCGGTGCTGGATCACTTTGTCTGGGTGGATATCCTGCGTATAGGTTCCATCCAGGCCCGGCGCTACCACAAGGCAAGGCAAGCGGCCGCCTGAGGGTGCTGCAGGGCAGGGTCAGCCTTAGGTCTTTAGGCGCCCTGTGCGAGAAAGCTTTACAGCGCCCCTCAGTGGCCACACCCTTTAGTGGCCACACCCCCGTAACCACACCTGTGGGAGGAGCTCCAGGTGGGGTCCTAATTTAGCTGGCCAGCAACTGCCTGAGGATCCCGACACGCGCGGCACCTCAGGCAGTCGCCGGCCAGCCAAATTAGGACCCCACCTGGAGCTCCTCCCACCGGACCAGCGCTGACTCGCCACTGCTCTCCCGCATCGAAGGTAAGTGAAGAAAAAAAACATGGTGATAGGGAGCAGGCCCAGCGCTACAGGGGGTCGGGGAGGGGGTTTTGGCTGGCGCAAAAATGCAACTTTGCCTGTGTAGGCAAAAATCCTAGCACCGGCCCTGGTTCCATCTGATGTAAAAGAGGTTCCCTTTAGGCAGCTTTTTGGAGGACAAGGACCTTGGGTTGTGTAAAAGTCATAACTGATTTTCATTAAAAGTTGCATTCATCGGAGAACCAGAATGATTCGGAAGAGGTCCCTTTATTGGGGCTTAGAAGGAATTCTATTCTGAACCTGGTTTTCTTCTGGTTACCACTCAGGAGAAAAGTCTTCTCTAGTCGCTGGTT